ATAACTAATATAATTGTATTTTAACTTAGGGAGCAGAGTTCAAATGAGTTTGAGGGAGTTAATATACCACATCATGTGTATCAAACAAATAAAGCTAAGTGTCCAATTAAGAGAGCAAAAAACAAAAGTCACATTAAGGCCATTCAAGAGCTTAATGAAGAAAATATAATTAATATTTAAATTTTATTATTTAAACTTTAGATTTATGCTCTAGAAATTTGACTTTTCAAATTTGAGAATATATATGGGTTGATCATTTATAAATATTAGAATATAAAGTACTAATGAAGGTGGTTGATATTTTTCTCCATTAACATTCACATTCTTTGTTTCCCTTCAAAATTATTATTATTATTTTTTTTAATTTTTAGTCCAATTCTCATAATTTGGATGATATAATTAGCTTTTTAACTATCGAATGATAAAAAATTTTTAGGATTTTTTTTTTTATTTGTTAGTTCTTAGAAAATTTATTTTAATTTTTCTGGAAAACTTTTAAAGCCACAACCTTGGTGATTGCTTAAGCCCATAAAGAGACTTCATGAGTTTGCACACTAGGTGTTTCTTAGAATCATTTTCAAGTCCTGGTGGAATCTCTATGTACACTTCTCTCAGATCCCCATTTAGGAGGATATTTTTTTATGTGAAGTTGGTGCAGTCCCCACTTTTTGTTAACTGCTACTGAAAGGAGAACTCTGATAGTGTTCAATGCGATAACTAGTGTGAATGTCTGCACCCATTTGCGTCCAACTGAATTCTTATCTTGAGAGAGTTTATTAAGAATCAATGTATCATTATGCTTTAGTTCTCAAATCTCTTCTTCAATTGCTTTTCTGCATTCTTGATTTTTAAGTGCTTCATGAATGGATTTAAGAATTTGCACACTATCAAGGTTAGATTCAAATGCTCTATAGGCTGAGGATAGGTTATCATAAGCTACATATTCTTGAATTTGGTATCTAGCATAGCTTTCTTTGTAATCAGCATCAGAAGAGAAGAGGAAGGGGATAACACATGAGTACTATGCTACTCTCCCAAAATTTTAGGTAAAGGTGGACTCGGATTTTGGTTAAAGCAGTTCTATTTTTGCAAGTTGTCTTTCATCTGCTTTAGATTTTCGTCATCTTTGTGTACAAGCGAAGTTCTTTATTATGGACTTCAGGTTGGGTTTGTTGGAGATTCTCAATAATGGTATGAGGGCTGGGTAGAAGAGGAGTAGGAGGGTTGGTGGAAGAGTAGGTTGTGAGGTTTTGTAGGTTTCATCAAGTGTATTCAAAAATTGATTTTCATTTGTACTTTTCCCCTGAACATCAGATTTGGGTTACCAGGGTTGCTTTTAAAAATGTGACATTCATGGAATTTTAATATTTTTTAGTAATGGGAGAGTAATTCTTATACCTCTTTTTATTGGAGGCAAATCCAAGGAAAATACACTTGAGAGATTTAGGGTCAAGTTTTATGCGATTTTTGGTATGGATATGAACAAAGGATATACACCCAAAAATTTTAAGCGGTATAATAGAAGAGAAAGCTCTGATGTGAGAATAAGTAATCATCAAAACATTATGTAGTGTTTTTAAGTTATGTACTCAGCTAAGCATTCGATTGATGAGGTATGTTGCAGTAAAAACTACTTCCCCCAAAAATATTTTGAAACTTGACGAGACATTATGATTGAGTTGAATGTTTCAAGAAGATGTTTGTTCTTTCTCTTGTGAGGTGTCAATACATAAACTTATATAGATGATTAAATTTTTTGAAAGATAGAGCCCAAAAATGGATTTAAAATATTCTCTTGCATTATCCATTTTGAGGATCCAAAATTTGTGTTGGAATTGTGTTTGAATCATGTCAATGAAAAGTTTGGAAGATTTTTTCAGATTTCCCCTTTATTAGGAATACCCAAGTAGTTCTAATGTGATTATCAATAAATGAGACAAACCATCTCGCGCCAATTGGAGTTTTTACCTTTGAAAACCCAAAAAATCACCGTGGAAATAAAAAAAAGGGTGTGAAGGTTTGTATTGGGTCAAGAGATACATATTTTTAGTGTGTTTAGCAAGTTAACAATTCTCACATTGATAAAAATTTAATTTTTTATTGATAAATAAGTGAGGATACAACTTAGTAACATAATTAAAATCAGGATGTCCTGGATGACAATGATAGAAGATGACCTATTTTTTGACAGACAGATTAAACCTACTCAAAAATTTGAGGCAAATATGAAGGTGAGTTCATTTGTGTGTTAGAGTGAGATTTTCCTTTCCCAACTCCATAACTTGAAATTCACAAGAATTTTAAAGAATGTGGTTATACATTTCATATCATGATTGAATTTGCGGATTACAATCCAATTGTAGAACATACAAAGTAGAGGCTTGAGAGAGCTTCACATCTCCTTTCTTAGCTACTTTTCAGTGTGATCTATCTGTAAATCTGGTCGATCTAGACGTATAAGCCTTTTGATAGTTGATTAGAGTATTGATATCTCCGGTCATATAATCAGCGACTCCTTAATCTATTATCTAAGATCTAAATCTCCCATTATTGACAAGATGAGAAAATTATATATTACCTTGGTGTGTCATGAGGTTGGTGTGTTGTTCTGAACTGCCTCCAAGAATTTTTTTTTGTACTCTAAATGGTTCAGTTGATCCCTTAGATGTGGTAACAACATTAGCCTTTTTCTCTTTATCTTTTCTTTCATGTCTAGGTTTCCAATGTGTAGGCTTTCTATGAAGTTTCTAACATTTATTTTTGAGATGCCCAATCTTCTTGCAATGGTCGCATATGGGACTATTCTTTTTGAGCTTTGAGTCATTGGAAGAATTATGCTTCTTGGCTTCCATGTGCGGTGATTGCGATCAGTGATCTCAGGAACTGTGCCCTTTCCCGTGAGATATTCCTGTTTCTTTTTTCTTTTACCAAAAATAAATATAAACATGGACAAGGACCATTGACGAAAGTTGTGGCTATTGAGTTTATGATTTGTGATAAAGTTAAAGAATTTGAGTCTTTTGGATATAATTCATGGTCTCTGATTCAGAGTTAACATTCATAGTAGAACTTGACATCTTCATCCCATACTTGGTCATAAACCCTATGCATATTTAGGGTTGTTGTTAGTTGCAAAATGAGAGTTAATTATTTCTTTTGCGGGTAGAGGAATGACTGCTGCAGGAAAGAGAAAAATATTGGTTGCCGTTGTTGTTGTTGCCACCGTTGCTGTTGTCGTTACTATTGTTGTTGCTGTCTTAGGACAAAAATTCCTACAAAGTTTCATGCATGGATAATCCGATGGAGGAAGATTTACTGCTAGGAAGGTTCTGGTGGCAAAAATTGAACAGAGGATGTTTTGCAGGGAGAATTTCAATACCGAGGAAGAAGAGGAGGGGCTCCGGAGAAGGGCCTGCAGATTAGCTGAAGGGATTCTGACAGAGTACTTGCAGCAGTAGGATTCCGACTGCAAGAAGAGTTCTAACGACAAAGGAGAACGGGGAAGGTTTCGAGACGAGAATGGTCTGCAGGGAGACTGATGCCTGAAGGAAAGAGGAGCTGAGAAAGGTCGACAAATGAGGGCTACCACTGGGACAACAGGAGAAGGCAAGTGAAGAAGGGATAGGAGAGTCGACAAATGATGGCCGTCCTAGGATTTAGATAGAGCCAAACGACGCATCTAACAAAGCAAAATGGCTAACCAGGCTAGTGGCTGAAGCAGTCGAGCGATTCAAGCAAGCAGACAACATAGTTAAGGGATCCCAATGAGCGGATGTCACGGTCGAGTAATCCAAACAAGTGAACAATGCGGTCAAGAGATCTAGTTGAGCGAACGATGTGTTCAAGCGATCCAGACGAGCTGAGTCAGATGATGAACGCGGTCCTAATCACGTCGATGTCTAACCAGATGCTCTAATACCATACGAAAAATAATGTTGGAGAGAAAAAATAATTTATTCTCCTTATTTATATATAGGGAAACCAATTTCTCTTAATTTACGAACTTACCAAATATATCTAATCTAAATTAGGATAGGAAATAATTGTGAAAGAAAAGAATAAAGAATATAAAATAGGAAGGGAATAAAACTAATTAAGAGGTTGTCAAAATTATCCCTGGTCAAATCTTTTTTTATTTTTGAAGTGGCCGCCCGACCCACCATGGAAAGTAGCCAAAACCTCTCAATTTTTCACAATAAACAAACTTACAGGCCAACCCTATGCTCATTAAGGCCAGCCTGGTCAAGCTTATACCCTTGGACCAGCTTTTAGTGCTTATTAATGATAGGCTTATGGTAAATGGGTTGGCTTAACCCATTCTACAATGCTATTGTAGTGTGCAGATGTAAAACATATAATTAAATTCCGTTTTAGGCAAATTTTTGTATGAACATCATCATGGTTAGCAGGATAGTTCTATAAACAGTTGGTTGCCCAGTGTCCACCTCAATTTTGATCTGGGAATGCCCATTTCTTATTTTTCTAATGGAAGAAGAAAAGTCGGTAGGTTTGGACACTTTCTTTTACCTCAATTTATGACCCTTGTATCAGAACATTGAATGCTTCCTCGCTCATGCACTGTTTGATTGCAATCAAACTATACTCATATAACTTACAATTGTGGTGTAGCTGAATGCACTTAATTTTTTGACTGATTGGTTTAAATCAGCAACATATAGCCTTTTATTGAGATTCTTCCCTCCCAAGTGATGTGAAATTAATTTAACAATTTGGATATATTTTCCGTGAGAGAGAAATGGGATTTCTATGTTATATATATTTATTGTTGATTTTATAATAAAGTTAATTGAACAATTTGGCTATATTTTTTTTAATATGATGGTTTTAAGTAGTGAAATACATGAAAAAAATTTAAATTTTCATTGGTAGTAAGTTTAGGCTCTGTAGTTGATTCCATTTATGATAAGTGTAAATTTTACAGGCTTTTTTTTTCTATTATTAGTTTTTAGTCAACTTACGATTCCAAAATTTACTTGCAGGTTATTCTTTGCGCCAGTACCATCAATCGAATGTTGAAAGGAGGCTAGAGTCAATTGAAAAAGCTGTGTGTTTGCTGAACTTTTTGCTTCTTTACTCTTTTTTGTCATGAATCTATTTAAATTTACAATGAAGAACTCCTTTTATTTTTTAGCAACTGACACTGGATATTGAACCATAAAACTATCTTGCGACTAGTGGCATAGCCAATACTTAGTGTTGGTGGTTTGATTGGCGGTTAGGCGGCAGTTTTGGCAGTTTTTCTGGGTGAATTGCTGAAACAAGATTGATGTTAGATGTAGGCGGAATAAGGTGAAATGGGATGTCCCTTAAAAAGTGACTGTGGTGCCCAAGCTGTGTTCAAGAAATCTAAAATTTCATTAGTATAAGGGATTTTAAAGTTCCTTTAATATGCAAATGACATGCTAAATGGTGCTTGCTGTTTGGTGTCCTTAGTGTTTATATTTGCGAAGTTCTGTAAGCGAACAGTGCTGCTCTTGGTAGCTTTTATACTTTCTTGTGTAGGATGCATTGAGGGCTATGAAAAAGATTTTTTTGGAACTTAATTGCAATGCACAAGGTTGATGAAGTACATACTGGATTGGACCAACATGTAATTAGTCTATGAAGGACCAATCTTTAAATATGAATTTTCTTAGTTTTATTTCAGTGATGGTGGTTTTGATTTTGGGATAAACACTTAACAAAATAAGGGGTTTGTCTTAGTTCGCTTAAGACATTTGTGATAAGGATCCCATCAGTTAAGGACTTAAATGCATTTTTTGAACTTTTAGGGTGTTGGGATTGTTGGCAGAGCCTGTTTAATTGGGTCATTTGGTTGGGTTTTTGTTTGACCTGAAATTCATTCTAGCTGAATAAGCCTAATAGAAACACAACCCATTTTATATAATGTTTCATAAACTGAACATGACTTGGGGCAAACTTGGACCTAGCTAGAATAGGTATGTTTTTAACGTATGGAAATGCATGCAAGCTCATTACAATTTTGGTACAGATACATCTCGTGGTTCATGAATTAGTTAATTTGAATTCTGACATCTCTGAGTGAATATAGATAACAATTTTTTTTAGTTTCATAACTCGGTGAATATGAAGCCATAAGAATTCAGAATTAAGATTTTATAACATTTTTAGAACTGTAGATTATAAGGACTGTACAATAATCAAACCTGATTTCTATAACTGTCGTAAAGGTTTTTAGCAATTTGCCCTGCTCATTTTCTCCCTATTAGATTCCTTTAACAATTCTACCAACAGTCATTTTAAATCCTTGTTAGTAAAGTCTGCTTTTTATGTGGAAGTTTGGTCATCGCAACCTTCTCATTTACGCCATAAACTTGTTTATACTTTTAAAAGCTTATTGGCTTTAGTTCAAATTGTTCTGTACGACATGATGATTTCAAATCAAGACAAAAATTTGAGGCTTTTTTTTTACCAGCAAAAAATCAGTGAGCTTTGATGAAGACACAAATTTTTATAAAGTAGTTGTGGCGTGGAAGCGTCTCTCCTAATGCAGGATGCACATGAGCTTGGGAGCGGGAGGCCAACGCGGGAGCTAGCAATTGATGCGAGAACGAGTGTCTGATGCCCGTCTACAGCCCAGACCAATTTTGTCTAGCATCTATGAGAGTCAGTTGGCTTTTCCTATGAGTGTACCACTTCTTTCAAGAGGAGTCCACTTTTATTTATCTTATATATATATATA